TTTAAGGTGCAAAATATAAATTCATTCTACTTAAAAGATATATTATATATACTGTAAAAAACTGCTTCTATATAGGATTTTAACAGTTTTTAGTCTATTTCAAGAGATACATTACGATCTTTACAGAAAAAATTGATTAAAAAAACATATTCACAGGTTACTCTATTTTTGTATAGATGTCCCTCTATACAACACGGTGCTCAAAACTTAAGTATAGGACGAACAAAAATGCCAACCAAAACTGATAGCATATTTTGATTAAAGACCCTTTTGGTAACACTAACATGTATTTATCAAAATCCCAGCTGATCCTATTTTAAAGTTTTGCAAACTTTTTTGTTTTTCTATTTCTATATATTATTTTGCAATAATTGTACTAAAACTACCTGTACAATTTTAATAAAATTAAGCAAAATAATAAACTTTGTATCATTTAAATTACTTAACTCCCCAGTATTAATTTATTGAGTCACCTATTATTTTTTACCACTCAAAACAAAACATAACAAAAAAAACGAAGATTTATATCTTAAATATATTTTATAACAAAAAATACTGAGTTTGTCTTTAAAATAATTACAACTTGCAAATTTTGTAAAACAATAATTAAGGTGGTTATGAAAAAATTGCTATACTTTATAACGCAAGTGACATTTTGCTTTAGTTGTTTATTTAATGTATACTTTATAGTATAGTATAGTATTTTAAAATGACTATTTCCCTCGTCTTAAGTTCCACCAATCACAAACGCGCAATTTTGAATTACAAATGGTTTCTAGGTGAAAAAACTGTGTGACAGCACCTGTCAGCAGTTTTTTCGAGTTTACCCGCGGCAAAACTTGACAGCCGTTCTCACCAAAAATTGCAATTTATATTTTAATTAATTGTTAACTGTTACTCATGAAATAGTCTTGTCAAATACCATTCGAGCATCTAATTTTTCCTTTGAAAAAAATCGAAAAAACACAATGCTAAGTAATATTTTTTAACAAAAAGCATTCGTGCAGGTGCAAAAATCCTCCTCTTCGACTCGGATTTTTGTTGCCACCAGCACTCATGCTTTTTGTTAAAATATCACTTAGCAACGTGTTTTTTCGATTCTTTTCGGAAAAATTAAATGCCCTTATGATATTACTTACGAAAATTAAACCGAAATTCAAGTTAAGCCATGAAGAAAATCGAAAGAAGGTATGTGCTGGCTGTGGAGACAAAATTGTTTTTGGTAATCGAAAAATTCAGAGTTTAGGGTTTCTGAGAAAATATAAAAATTACTGCAGACTTTTTCAAACGAACACTTTAACTTAAGTGATTCAAAATTACCTACTTCAATATGGTAAAAACGGTATTTTTGCATAGCCACAATTGCCAAATTTTCAAAATTTAGAAATTGCTAAAGAATTTCGCGGCAGCCAAGAATGTATGTGCTTTATCTGCAAAATGGCAAGATATAAAGGGCATAAAAAATTATTAAGGGAAGAGGACGGACGAACGAACTAAAGTTTTGATATGCTCTTCATTTCTAGGGGATATCGCTAGATGTAAGAAGCATGTTTGTACAAAGACTGAAGAATTTAAAAATACTGTTTCCATGTTAAAAACAATTCCATGTAAAACCCAAGAAAAAGTCTTACTGAAAATTTAAGGCAAGCAGTAATCGATTTTGCTTCAAAGAATCTTTAGTTATTTATTAGTTTTGTATTAGGTACCTTAAAACAATAAATAAGATATTGCAAACAGTATTTTACATTATTTTGTATTTAAAATGTAATTTATCCATATTTAAGTCATGTATCTGCCAAATTTTTAAAAGCATTTGATAATGATACTAGAGTATTTTATCGAAATGGCATAAACAATTTTAAAATACTAAGAAATATGCAAAACTTTAATAAAGGATCAGCTGGAATTTTGATAAATACATTTTTGTGTTACCAAAAGAGTCTATAATCAGATTATGCTATCAGTTTTGGTTGGCATTTTTGTTCGTCCTATACTTTAGTTTTGACCACCGCGGTGCACCGTGACAAATATTTAAACTAATTAGTAATCAATTGTTTGTTATACCTAATATATATTATATTTATAATATAATCTTTTCTGGACACTCATGTAATAAAGTTGCAATATCCCGTTGACTATAAATAATACACATTTATTTTTATAAAACATAAATACAAATAACGTTGTTAAAAAAATTTACACAAGAAGTATTTTGTCTGTAGTCTGTAGTTAATAAACTTATAATAACAGGTATGTATATGTACAATATAATTCAAACATAAACCAGTAGGCATTCACTTCAAAGTGGATTTGTCTTAATAAAGTTCTTTTGAAGCTGAACTCACATATCAGAGTGCGTGATTTTTCCTACCTTGAAAGCTTTGCACGCCAAAGCATCGGATTTCGCGTGCTGCGTTGCCATTATATTATATAATGATTATAAACGCTAAAAACCCTGTTAACCGCATAATGTCACCGAAGTAAGGTTAGTTAAATCAAACAAAGGTAAAATTAGTTTTTGTCGGCGTGCGGAGACTGGCAACGGCGGTTTTAAGGCTCAGGAAGCTTTTCAGGCACACAGGGAACCTTCATCATCAAAAGCTTTTATCGCAGTAAAGGAGCTGTGATTGAATTTGTGGTTTAATAAATATCAAATTGTAGAGAACAGTCACAAAGTGAGCTTATAAGATTTGGGCTCTTATTATTTCAAAAAGGATACCAAAAGCACCAAGAATGTATGTAATTAGATAGTTATTATACCTAATATTATAATAATTATAATTATTATACTCTAATAGCATGTCGTATTATTCTTTGCTTGGCTGCAAGAAAAATCAAGGTTAATGATGATAAAGAAATGATTTGAATTATTTAATATATGTACTTTTTATTATTTATTAGACCTGCAGTGCAGGATAGCCGTGGTGTTTAAGCACGCTCAAATCAAATCAAATCAAATCAAATCAAATCAAATCAAATCAAATCAAATCAAATCAAATCAAATCAAAATCAAATCAAATCAAATCAAATCAAATCAAATCAAATCAAATCAAATCAAATCAAATCAAATCAAATCAAATCAAATCAAATCAAATCAAATCAAATCAAATCAAATCAAATCAAATCAAATCAAATCAAATCAAAATCAATCAAATCAAATCAAATCAAATCAAATCAAATCAAATCAAATCAAATCAAATCAAATCAAATCAAATCAAATCAATCAAATTCAAATCAAATCAAATCAAATCAAATTCAAACTCAAAATCAAATCAAATCAAATCAAATCAAATCAAATCAAAATCAAATCAAATCAAAATCAAATCAAATCAAATCAAAACAAATCAAATCAAATCAAATCAAATCAAATCAAATCAAATCAAATCAAATCAAATCAAATCAAATCAAATCAATCAAATCAAATCAAATCAAATCAAATCAAATCAAAATCAAATCAAATCAAATCAAATCAAATCAAATCAAATCAAATCAAATCAAATCAAATCAAATCAAATCAATCAAATCAAATCAAATCAAATCAAATCAAATCAAATCAAATCAAATCAAAACAAATCAAATCAAATCAAATCAAATCAAATCAAATCAAATCAAATCAAATCAAATCAAATCAAATCAAATCAAATCAAATCAATCAAATCAAATCAAAATCAAATCAAATCAAATCAAATCAAATCAAATCAAATCAAATCAAATCAAATCAAATCAAAATCAAATCAAATCAAATCAAATCAAATCAAATCAAATCAAATCAAATCAAATCAAATCAAATCAAATCAAATCAAATCAAATCAAATCAAATCAAATCAAATCAAATCAAATCAAATCAAATCAAATCAAATCAAATCAAATCAAATCAATCAAATCAAATCAAATCAAATCAAATCAAAATCAAATCAAATCAAATCAAATCAAATCAAATCAAATCAAATCAAATCAAATCAAATCAAATCAAATCAAATCAAATCAAATCAAATCAAATCAAATCAAATCAAATCAAATCAAATCAAATCAAAACAAATCAAATCAAAATCAAATCAAATTCAAATCAAATCAAATCAAATCAATCAAATCCAAATCAAATCAAATCAAATCAAATCAAATCAAATCAATCAAACAAATCATATCAAATCAAATCAAATCAAATCAAATCAAATCAAATCAAATCAAATCAAATCAAATCAAATCAAATCAAATCAAATCAAATCAAATCAAATCAAATCAAATCAAATCAAATCAAATCAAATCAAATCAAATCAAACAAATCATATCATATCATATCATATCATATCATATCAAATCAAAATCAAATCAAATCAAATCAAATCAAATCAATCAAATCAAATCAAATCAAATCAAATCAAATCAAATCATGTAGTTTAGTTTTTGTTGTCCTTATTTTCTTTGCTGCCTTTTTCTCGGCTCGAAACACGCTGAGTCTTATATAGAAAAACAGGTACATCGGACAGCGGTGAGATCCTAATGTAACTTGCCCCTTCAATTGTGATTATATTATTTATAATTTTTCGTTGTTTTACTTATTTAATGATTTTTATCTTTTTATATTAATATTTTGTTGCGATTTTATTATGCATTATATAAGTATTTATTTAACAATTTCCCCTAGAACCTCGTTAATGTAATTAAAACAATAGTATTTTCCTTTGAAGCCGCCTGCTAATTCATATACGTATAAGAATGAATTTACTCCATACATTCAAAAAACTTTTTCGTCCTTTTATCAAAGGTTTCTATAAACCAAAAAACTCCTTTAAACGGAATAATTTATATTTAAACTTTCTTTATCTTCGCAAAGCAGCGTTTCTCCTTGTTCTTATATTCATTTTCATAAGTTTATTATGCAAACAATTTATTTCTTGAAATTTTTCAATTAAACAACATTGTACACAGTATGTAGCGAAAATAATGTATAAATATTGTATGTTTTATTATTGGAATAACATATTAAAACTTATTTACAGGTCCGATGGGAAGTACTTTAATGGTTTTTACTTCATTTCCCTCATAAAGTTAGGTAAGATAATTATAAAAAAAGTTAATATTAAAATAAATAAGTCTAAATAAATAATTCAGTAAATGTTTTTTTGGCCTTATAATTGAATTGGGCAAATTTAAGATACTGGCCCAAATTTATTTCCACAAAATTCAACTAATATGTCGTTATAAAAGCCCTAATAAATCATATTGATTTATTCGTTTAGGTTATTTTGTCCTTTGAACCTATATGATTTATTTTTAATCTTCCAAAAAGTATTTTATCTTGTAGAAGAATATAATAAAATGTAATAAATGACTTTGATAATTGTTTTTATACGGAAACCGAAGAAAAACATTTGTTTTTTATAACCAAAGGACTCATATATTTATACAGAATGAAATAAAATAATATACATAGTTCTAAATTCTAAGTTATAGTATCAATTTTTTGAAATATTTTGTTTACTATTAGCAGGTTGTTCTATTATATTTTTGCAAGCATAATGAAAATAATAATAATAATGTTTATTCAAAAAAGACTCCTGGGAAACGAACACGTCAATACAAAAAATAGCAGTATACTGATATGATACAACATACAATACAAAAATAAAAATAATTTACAATAATTGAATAGACATTTGTCTATTCAATAATTGTGAATTAATATTCAATTACTTTGAAGTAAAGATAAAATGGGAAATTATGAAAATAGGTTTCAAGATATACTATAACAATAAAATAAATCAAAATTTATAATTGTAAAATTCCTCTGTGGAGTAGAAACACTGACATTATAAAAAATTAATAAAAGTTTTATAATATTTTTTTTGCAGCCTGGTGATCCCATATAGATACCACCTTTTTATTTAGTTACTTTTGAAGTAAAATGGGCGCTAAGTGAATTTATTTATTCTTAATAGCTATGCAAAACTAACAAACATATCATATTTAATGTTTTTTCAGAAAAAATGTCAACATTTGGTGTTCCCTACAGGAGCCAATGGGTATAATAATAATATTAATCTTAATTAGTAGTAATTATAATAATAATAATAATAATAATCAAAATCGTTATTAGTGTTAATACCAATAAGTTTAAACCGCGGTTGTTCATATTGCTTTTGTTTGCAGATAAATTGCGCGAATTTATTGAAAAAAACAGATTGACTTTTCAAGATCTCGATTAGCTTTCTGTGAACGCTTTCAATACTTTGATCAAAGAAATTCCTTTTGATATTGAATCAAATATTGCATTCAATATCAGAAGGAATTTTTGCCAGTGCCAGCGATTATGAATGATAAAGAAGATAGTAGAGGATCCCAAGTAAGGTCGACCTTCACCCATCTGCTTACCAGATGAAAATTATATTTTATCAAATAAAATATGTTTCTGACATAAACCAATAGGGTTGCCATAAAAAATATGATCAAGGCTAGCTATAATAAATAAAAAATTAAAAAAAAATAATTAATTTTTTAAATTTCACCGACTTGCTTGCCAAATGAACGAAATTCCAATGGAAAGCATACAACATACAGAATATGTAACAGCTAGGTTGCCTACCTTTTTCTGGTCCCTATTACCTGGTTGCTTTGTACAGGGTGATCCCCTATAATGTCGCCCCCTTTAACTTTTTTATTTTAAGTGTCCCAAAAAATTTAAAAGTTTGGTTATGTAGGTACTAAAAAATACTTTTTTTCTACGTATAAAGAAAATTGGAAAATTGATCAGTATACAGGGAAAAACAAAAAGTTTTTTTTTCAATGGATCACCGTATATATGAATTTATTTTTCGATTCCTTGTAAAATTCTGAGCATAATTTATATAACAAACCATATACCTAAATTCAACCGTTTCTGAAATATTCGCATTCGAAATGTCATCATTAAATGTTTTTTAAACTGTTAGAAATCAAGAAGCCTCAGTATACCAAAATTTTTATTGAAAATAAATTACTATAGTGACATTATGTCAATAAGTGTTGTTAAATAAGTAAAAATGGCGTACTCAGACAGAGAAACACAAACTATTTCAACTTATTATCTTAAAAATAATTTAAATATTTCAGAAACAGTTGAATTTAGGTATATGGTATGATATATGAAATATGCTTAGAACTTTACAAGGAATTGAAAAATAAATTCATATATAGGGTGATCCATTGAAAAAAATAAACTTTTTGTTTTCCCTGTATACTGATCAATTTTCCAATTTTCTTTATACGTAGAAAAAAAGTATTTTTTAGTTCCTACATAACCACACTTTTAAATTTTTTGGGACACTTAAAATAAAAAAGTTAAAGGGGGGCGACATTATAGGGGATCACCCTGTACAAAGCAACCAGGTAATAGGGACCAGAAAAAGGTAGGCAACCTAGCTGTTACATATTCTGTATGTTGTATGCTTTCCATTGGAATTTCGTTCATTTGGCAAGCAAGTCGGTGAAATTTAAAAAATTAATTATTTTTTTTTAATTTTTAATTTATTATAGCTAGCCTTGATCATATTTTTTATGGCAACCCTATTGGTTTATGTTCAGAAACATATTTTATTTGATAAAATATAATTTTCATCTGGTAAGCAGATGGGTGAAGGTCGACCTTACTTGGGATCTTAGACTAAGAAAGGTTATTGAAGATGAAGAAGATGACAACGAAAACGATTAAAAATCAGATAATAAAGAAAAAAATGAAGTAATAGAGGAAGAGGTTATTGAAGATGGAGAAGATGACAATGGAAACATTTTATACAGTGCGGATAAGAAACAGGACATTCTTGGATTAATTTTATGCCAGACCTAGTGGTCTCCATAAGAACCACCATTTTTTCAAACTTCATTAAAAAAAAAATATTCTTGAAAAAATAAATCTGTTCGCAAAGGTTAATGTTTTAATTTCTTTTTCTTGATTATTTTACTCTTTACAGTTCTTTGAACTAAAGAGGACTTTGTTTTATCAGGAATTAAAACGTTTTAGTTTAATTTAAATTACACTGTGCGACAAATTTTGACCTTACAATTTGAACTGGGATGAAATGTGGCAGAAAATCGAATCTATGCAACCCCCAAAACTAATCTTTAAGGGGTTTTGCTAGTTTAGCTCGAATAATGGAGATATACAGGGTGTTTCTTTTAACTTGAGACAGCTCAATATCTCGAGGAAATACGCATTTCCCAACGGAAAAATGTCTTAATTAAAAGGTTAATGTGACCAAAGGTGACATTATTTGGTGCTACCGCTAGCCACCCCCTACCCCTCCTTAAGGGTGAAACGGGGGGTAACTTTGGAAAGTCAAATGAAATGACCCGATTTTTTTTCACAGAGTTTGGTAGTACATAAAAAAATGAATAACTTTTATTTGAAAGTTTTTTTTCAATTTATCAACAGATGGCGCTGTAATTCAAAATTTAAGAAAAAGGGGTTTCCTTGTAAAATGTATTATTTGAAACGTTTGAAAAACAAAAATTAACATTAAATCAACAATAGTCGGCTCTGAAAACAATTTATAACAAATGTTCGAAATGTCGTCCTTCCATTTCGACACCAAGTGGAGCACCAGCGTCCCTGGTCGGTAAACGTTTGGTGCGGTACCTTAAGCGAACGATTAATCGGACACTTCTTTATTGACGGTGCATTAAATGGCGAAAAGTACCGGAATTTTCTAGAAAACGATCTGACGGACCTTTTGGAGGATGTACCACTAGCACGGCTCCAAAACATGTGGTACCAGCAAGATGGTTGTCCTGCACATTATTCGACAATTGCTCGAGAGGTGTTGGATCGGGAGTTCAATGGCCGGTGCACCGCGGTGAATCGGTAGACGTGGTCCAGTAATTTGGCCTGCTCGATCACCTGATCTTACGCCACCAGACTTCTTCCAGTGGGGTTACTTGAAAGAAAAAGTTTACGCTGCAATTCCTACAACTTGGAAGGACATGGTGGAGCGGATCAGGAACGCCTGTGCGGCGATACCGCCCGATATGTTGGAGCGTTGTGTGCCAGAATTCATTACCCGCATTCAAAAATGTGTTGAAATGGAATGACGACATTTCGAACATTTGTTATAAATTGTTTTCATAGCCGACTATTGTTGTTAATGTTAATTTTTGTTTTTCAAACGTTTCAAATAATACATTTTACAAGGAAACTCATTTTTCTTAAATTTTAAATTACAGCGCCATCTGTTGATAAATTGAAAAAAGTTTTAAATAAAAGTTATTTATTTTTTTATGTACTACCAAACTCTGTGAAAAAAATCGGGTCATTCCATTTGACTTTCCAAAGTTACCCCCCGTTTCACCCTTAAGGAGGGGTAGGGGGTGGCTAGCGGTAGCACCAAATAATGTTCCCTTTAGTCACATTAACCTTTTATTTAAGACATTTTTCCGTGAAATGCTGTCTCAAGTTAAAATAAACACCCTGTACATATATATATATATATATGTATATCTCCATTATTCGAGCTAAACTGGAAAAACCCCTTAAAGGAAATGTTTTGGGGGTTGCCTAGATTCGATTTTTTCAGATTTGATCCCAGTTCATTTTTTGTGTTGCACAGTGTTATTTTTTCCTAAAAACATAATACACTCTAGTATATAAATTGATGTTAATGTGGGAATTTTGAATTTTTTAAAATATGGTCTACAAGAATCTTTGCATTGTAGATTAAATATACGTCGTAGGGTTAGAAGGACCTAGGTCGATAGCCCTTTGGTTAACCCAATAAAGACTTTTTTTTATACGTCGTAGGCATCTTTTTGCAGGACATGCATGACATTAATGGAATTTCCCCAAAATAAACTATTATATTACTAAAATATATAAAAGTACATTAGGAACAACTCTAATTTTATAATCTTGTATACGAGGTGTGTTCAGAAAATATCGGGAATTTTCGTTTTTTGAAGCAAATATTTATTTATTCGTCTACATTAATGTTGTCGCTTTCAAAATAGTCTCCATTGGATATTATGCACATGTGCCAGCTCTTCTTCCAATACTCGAAACACTTCTAAAACTCGATTTTTGGGATA